GTTCATATGGGTACATAAAGAAGTATGTGCTCTGGGCAGGTTTTCATAGCTGCTGGATAAAACTGAACAACGATTCGTCCCCTTTTAACCTAAAGTATAAAATAGTTGTTCCTGGTGAATTTTAAAAATACATTTTTGCTCTTGTTTCTTAGTATCTGGCCTTATTACTGAGAATTAAAGTCTTCCTGTATTTTACTTGTACAATAATTTAAAACACATTAAAAGCAATTGTTCTTTCATGAAGATTCAGGTACTTGTTAGGTTTCAGTGGCTTTTTATTGGCTATTAAGTCTGACGAACAGCTATGATTTCACTGAAGTTTGATTATACAAAATACCTTCATGAAATGGTAGTACGTATTCATGTATTCCACTCTCAGCTTGCATTATCATTGGTCTTCACCCATATTTTATCATATTTATATTAGTATCTGGTGAAGTGGAAAAAATGATCTATTTTGTAATGATGTATGCCTTTGGGAAGAATCTCAATTGTTGTATTTTATAATTAATGAGAATACAGCTGGATAAATAGATGATTATATTCCAAGAAAGAAAATAAGTTGTAAATGTGAAGATTTGGCCTTTTGGCCTTTACTTTTAATTCAAAACAATGTGAGCTAGTTTCTGCAAAACATTTTCAACTTAGAAAAGTTCATATTAAAATATACTTATTTCATGTTAAAGTCGTTGTAAGTTTACTAGCTCATATATCTTCACAGGTTTAGTTGGCTGATACTATAGTTTATCTTTGTGTTCATATTAGTCATAAGACAGAAAAAAAAACCCAATATCAGGTTGCAAAAAAATTGGATTTTTTTAAAAAGAAGAAATATGTAGCTAATGTAGCCAGTTGTTCAGTTTCTGCAGCTCAAGAGAAAAAGCTAGTGCAGCTGATAGAGAGCAAATCAGAGACTAGCAGTAGCTAGCACAATTCTACAAGAAGAAACAGCAATGCAGCAGAACAATTACAACTTGCTTGTTTCAAATTTAAATTATATTGCTCATGCTCTAAAATAATATTTTTAATTTCTTAGTAAACGTACTTTATAACTAAATCATGCCTTATCATCCTACCCTTTTATGTATAATGAAATGGATCCAGAATATAATGTAAAAGTAACAAGAGGGTAATGCATTACTGTAAAACTAATATTTTTTGAAATGCTAAAGTATTAGTAGTATAATACTTGAAATACAATTGATAAGATTTCTTGTCCAACAGTATTAAGCTATGGTATTATTCAATTAAAACTGATTCTTTTCCATTTTAACACTTTACACTAGAAATACTTGATATTTAAGCACACTAGTAGTATGTTAACCTGCAATTGAGAGTAATACAACAAATGCACAAATTATTAAAAGATACATGCAGACATGAATCCTTTAAATATGTGGAATAATTCAGGTCTTCTGATGCTCTATTACCTGTAAGCTTATCATGCAGCATTTGCAGTTGGATGACCTAGAGAGAGACATCAGCAGCAGCCATCTCATCTTGAATGTTCACTCTATCGCTGATTCAGCTCTTCATTATGTGGGAGGGGGGAAGCAATGGAGAGGTGAAAATGAATACATATTTCACTATAAAACAAGTATAATTAAAATATGAGCACGTATCTTACAAGGTATCTGTTGTTTTTTTCCTAACCATTAAGGTGTTGTGCATAGAACTAAGTTTCTTGAACGTACAGGACAGAAAACAGAAATATCCAAGGTAGATGCTAGAAAAACCCAAAGAAGGATAATCTCATCTTGTTTAGATAATTGAAAATAATTCAAAAATGTTCATTAGATTGTAAAAAAAAAAATCAGCATACACCTTCATCCATTCCCTCCCCTTCTGAAGCAAGTATTGTTTCTTTCTCCATAGATAAAGGACTTGATTTCTTCATGCTTGAATTTTAGTTCCCAGACAGGTTGCTTGTCGTTATTTTTCATTTTTAGAGGTCAAACACTGCTTTTGAGGTCAGGATTTCCACATACATGCTGTTTACCATGAATCCATTTCTACTCAGTGCACTAGCAAAACTATTTCAGCTTTATAGGCAGCCAGGCATTTGAAACATCCACTCCCAGGCTGTCTTTTGCCTCTCTCTTCCCTGACCATATTTAGTCAACCATTGCAAAAAATAGTATCTCAACTGTTGGTTGCTGTTCCAGGAACAGACGGTGCCTCTGTCTTTTATTCTGCCTATTGATTGCTCATCCTGCAGTTTTACTACTCGGACCCTATATGTGTGATATCAAATTAAATTGGGTTGCGTGTTGCAGCTTCAGTTTTTCCTAATTTTTTTTCACTGATGTTCAAATTCTGGTTTCTCAGTCATTGTGTTTATTCTCCTAGAGATAAAAGCAAGATAGAGAAAATTTAGAATGAAGTAACATTTCAAAAACTTTAGAAATCTCTGTTTTGTGTAAAAATAAATACAATATGGAGTAAATAAACCTTTTTAATAATCAGGATGAAAGAAACTATGTTCTTAGTTTTAACTTTAACAATTTTAGCTTATAACTTGCATTTTATTTTAGAAAAGTATTTTATATCTTAGGAATATGAATTTATATATATATATATTAACGTGATTATCTTTAAAAACAATTTTTTGAGTTTTTCTAATTTCATTTGTACATTAAATGTAGTTTGTGTTCTACCTGGACAAAATATCAGTAACAATAACAATTAGGGATAATCTGTGAAACATTCTAAAAGTGTATAACTTTTCCCTGATTGCTCTTTTTGTGGAGTGTTGATGATTGATAAGATACAGAGGTTAGTAGTCCATTGCTCATGAGAGAGTGTAAGTAATTGGATCCCTCTGTTAAGTATCTTTAAATAACCATCCAGAATGAATAGTTTATATATAGATGTATCTCTAGATTTGTATTTTTTTCATAAACCTACCTGACCGTACCTTGATAAATCTATTTAGCAATGCCCATTTTTCCATTATTTAAATGGTTACTAGTGAAAGGATTTCTTTTATGGCACTCCATATATGGAATGGATACATTGGGTGGTAGGTATAGGATTCTCCCCTCCCCACTGTGTTTATTGTTCCATTAACTTTTTTAAAGATTATTTGATAGCTTTCCAAAACCTTTCTAATGAATCTGTTTCTGGGTTTTAATTCTCTGTAAACTACCTTGAAAAATGTTTTTGAGATAGGATATCAATATATTTAAATGGTAAACTACACCAGGGTTTTTTGGTCCTCAGTTTTTCTAGGTCTTATATTATCAATGTGAAAAGATTTATATAACTTCTGGCAAAAAAAGGGAAGAGTTAAAAGTATTTGAAGGTGCCTTTTAAAAATAATAGTTTTGAAGGGTAAACTAGGTTTTTAAGAGGGGAAGACTGGAAGATACACATTCCCCAAGCTACACAAAAATACACAGACATGCATACTTGTTACATAGACACCCCTCCCCCAAGCTACACAGAAGTACAATAACTCATATTACCACTATGAATTCCCATACAAAATTCCATTCATATATAATTGGGGAAAGAAAGTATGTAATGTCAGCATGGTAGATTGAAGCACAGCAGGTGGTGTATGAACTGCATGAACATAATCCTCAAACATGAAGTAATGATATTTGAGGCAAGGGGGAAGAGTAAATAAATGTGAGATATAGGATAGTGTTGAAAATAAGAGACTTCCTTCCCATTTTCAAAGTATACCATTACTAGATTTTAATTATTTCTCTGATTTCTAGGCTGCCCACTCATGGTAAATAAGCAGTCATAAATGTTTGTATATATTCTGTGTGGCAAATTGAGTATGATAGTTGAAAAATGCATTTTATTATGAAATTATACATATATTTACTCAGAAGTAAGCACTATTGAGTTCAGGGGAATTAAATCATTACCATATTAATGATTGTAAAATAGCTATTAGTACTGAAATATATTAAACTTAATATACTTATGTGGGGATGTGTAAGACAATATGAATAAAACTCGGAAGAACTGGACATGGATCACTAGAATACCTAATATATTTATATGGATTCCATTACATTATCTCATTGAGAAAGAATGTTAAGGTTTAATAGAATGGATAGTATTTCATATAAAATCAGTTTTTCAGTAATAATAAAAACTCCTGGCAATCTAATCACTGAGTTTTGGGATGTTACAATTAAACGGAAAATTGTATTCCTTCTAGAATACAGGATATAATCCTTTACATTTTTTTCTATTTCAGTGCAATGCGAGTGTTACTGTCTAAGCTTCCAAGACCATGGATTGTAGATGAAAAAAAGGACGATGGATATACTGCTTTGCATTTGGCAGCACTCAATAATCATGTAGAAGTAGCAGAACTTTTGGTACATCAGGTAAATTTCCTATCAATTGTTTTCATTCCAGAAAGAAAGAATGCATTATTTATTACAAATAGATGCATACATTTGCTTACAAATCATTTTCTACATCCAAATAAAGGTTGTTTTTTTTTACTAATCATTAAGACATTTATTGTACCACTACTGGTTCTCTTAGTGAGAGCAAAGTGAGGGTATCACAGATTTCCAGAAACTAAGCTTTAATAACATCAGCTATCCTATCTTTTACTTTCTTGATGTACTTAGATATTTTATTGAGATTTTGGAAGTGCATATATTCCTTTTTAAAATTTGTATAGCCACTTTTGTGAAATGAATCCCATAGTTAAACAATTGAAAAATATAGTTTATTCAATGAAAAGAGCACTGAACCTTATAATATCCATATTTCCTCAGACATAAATGAAATTGACTATACTATAGAAAGCATCCATATTAAAGCAAGTAGAAAACATAATGAAGTGTTGAATGAATTTGAAATTTGAATTTCAAATTGAAATTTCAATTGAATTTGAATTTGAAACAATGAAATTGTTTACATTAGCTTACCTAAGCAAAAAGAACATATGAATAAATAAAGTTCAACTATGTTCAAAATAAAATAAAGGAAAAAAGAACAATATACCAGCCACTGTAACCTTAGGATAATGACAAAATAGTAGCCAGTAACCAAGATAAAACAAGAAAATGGAGCCATTCACTCACTATGCTCACTCTTCTCCAACAAAACAGCATGTATGAAAAGCCAGATGAACGGATAGAATTAAAACTTGTTACTGATCAAAAAATAGCTATAGAATGCCAATTTATTTTGAATGAATTTAAGTCAGATAAATTGCATCCTAGATTACCAAATGAACTGTATTGGGTTTATTTCCCTTCATTCAATCATGTCCAAGTCATTGCTAAGTTAATCACATTTTTGGTCAGGCAGTTTAGATTTTGGGGAAGCTACAGGGATAATACATTTTAATCTAAGCAGAGTATGTGACAAAGTATCCCATGACAGTCTAATTAGCAAACTGCTTAATTGTAATCTGGTTGGCATGACCATTTAATTGATACTTAATTGGAAATCATACTTCAACAGTGTTCATAAATGATTTCACATCAAAATGTGTGACATAATGTGTTGGGGTAATCATAAATTGAATAATTAGTTACTTGGGCCTAGTATCCTAGGAGACAAAAATAAAATAAAGGAGCTTAATTAATTAGAAAAATTGGCTAGAAATAATATTATGACATAGAAATTAGATATACAAAAGAAACTGACTGAAATTTAAAAAATTAAAAGGGAGAACTACAAATGATGAACCAAGAAAATGATCTGGAAAATATTTTCTGATTCGATCTACAAAAGGAGGCTTGTCAAAAATCTGAAGAGATTTGTGTGATAGAATGAAGAATTAAAGAGAAAACGCCTATGACAATATTTGCTTGATGTAAAAAATAAGACTTAGAAAAAAAAGGAAGGAATATAAAGGTGGCTTATTTGATCAAGGTTAAAATAAATCATTTTTTTGCAATGTTCTGACAATCCTTTATGAATTTTCTGCTGACATCAGGATAGAAAAGTTAATATTTTATGGATTTGCTTATAGATAAAGGATGGAATATGGAATGAAGAGTTACTTGTTTAACCTTATAGGAGTGAAGATTTGTTAAATTTGTTTATGCTTGTTATGAAGTTTCTTTTTCCTACACTATTTTTTTTTTCATTCTCTTTCTCTAAGTTTAGTTTGTATTAGTTTTATTATTGTAATTAAAATTCTTACTAAACATATTTTAAAAAGTGCCCCTTCTCTGTAGTGGTGCCTGCCCTCTGGAACTAGGCTCCCCCTGTGATTTGGATTCCTTACCTCCGCCTCCCCACTTTGCTGTTGTTTAAAAGAGCCATCTTCACCCAGACCTTTCAAGAGAGAGAGTGAAAGCCCTTTTTCCATAGCACTTGCTATCTTTTCTCTTTCTCTTTCTATGTTTTATTGATTTTATTGTAATTTCCACTGCCAACTTGTTCAGAGTCAGGTGGCATATTAGTTTAATGTATTATTATTAATTAGCTTTTCATCCAGAAGGTATATTTTGTTCTAAGCTAGTTCAAATTGAACTATTAAGTTTGAGTTGGTCAAAGAGGTAAGTTGATTATATCCACTCAATATGTGGAGCTTATGAATCCCTATACATCGGGGGGGGGGGGTTCCCAGCGGGGGGTGCTTGCACCCCCTGGGGGTGCGAAATGATATTCCAGGGGTGTGTGAAAATTCCGTTTAGAAATTTCAAAATGATAGTGTATATGCATAATTCATTGCTATTTCAAACTTTTGTAAGGGGTGCAAGAATATATCAGAAGCGTTCTATGGGTGCGGGGTATAGAAAAGATTGGGAACCACTGCTATGCATAAATTGTCTCAGTATTGTATACACCATCTCCTTGTTTAGCAACCAAAATCCATTCCTTAAATTGGTAGTTAAATGGTCAATCAGCTATAAATGGTCACTAGACAAACATGTGACTGAGAGAGAAAGAGTTGTTGCAAAGATCACTGGTTGTTCATTTAGATAAAGGTCTCTCATATAGTGTTCTGTGCATGACCCATTCCCCCCCTTTTTTCATTTTTTTTATTCCCCCCCTTTTATGCCCTTGCAGAGCAGAGAAATTGCTTAAACAATGTATTT